GTATGGATTGCATCTCAATGTCAAGGAAACAAAATCCTCACCACTGGACCAATTAACAACATTCTTATCAATGGAGAAGAGATTGAAGCTGTTAAGGACTTCAATCTTCTTGGACCAACTATCAACACTCATGGAAGCAGCAGTCAAGAAATCAAATGACATATTGCATTAGGCAAATCTGTTGCACAAGACCGTTTTTCAGTGTTGAAGAGCAAAGATGCCAGCTTGAGGACTAAGGTGCACCTGACTCAAGCCATGGTAGTTTCAATAACCTCATATGCATGCGAAAGCTGGACAGTGAATATGGAAGACAGTAGAAGAATTGATGTGTTTGAGTTATGGTGTTGGAGGAGAATACTGAAAGTACTATGGGCTGCTAAAAGAACAAACAGATCTGTGTTGGAAGAAGTGCAGCCAGAGTGCTTATTGGAGACCAGGACGGACAAACTTCATCTCTCATACTTCAGACATATTGTCAGGAGGAACCAGTCTCTGGAGAAGGCTATCGTGTTTGGTAAAGCGGAGGGTCAGAGAAAAAGAGGAAGCCCCCAGTGAAATGGATTGGCAAAGTGGCAGCATCAATGGGCTCAAGCATGGCAACAATTGTGAGGCTGGCCTAGGACCAGGCAGTGTTTCATTCTGCTGTGCTAGGGTTGCTATGAGTTGGTACAACTTGATGGCACCTAACAACAACATCCATGTTAGTACATATCCTATATTGCTCTTAAATGCATTGATTCAGTTCTCAGCTGATGGACATGTGTGTTATTTCCAAGTTTTTGCTAAAGAAAAGCTGAAATTAATATTTTTGTACATCAGTCTCTATGTACTTATTCTTGTATATGAGTAGGTTAAATTCAGAGAAGTAGAACTGTTAGAATAAAGGGCATTTTATTTTATATTTTGATAAATATTTCATAATTGCCCTTTGGGCTTGATGACAGTGGGTTAATTGCACTTCAAAGCAATTGTATCAATATCATCAATAATCAATGGTCAGGCCTATTTTCCTAAAAACATAGTTATATTAATTTAACTTAAAAAAATCTTTCCTTGGATCATTTGAAATCATGCATGAAGACTACTACCTTCATTGGTCTGAACTAATAATGGGGCAAAGTGATACATTCAAACAAGAGTAAAAAGTTCATCCATTTACAGTCTAGTTTAGATGGTTGTTTCTTTCCTCATTAAACTTGCCCCTTTAATTACTCTTTTTCAGTGAAGTTAGAATTAGTTTGTGTTTATCAAGCATGAAACCTACCCATGGGAAGTCCAGTCAGAAATTTAAAATTGACCATAAATAATATACGGTTAACAAAATATGTAAGTAGTGTAGTGGTTACGAGTTGGGCTGTTAACCTCAAGGTTAACAGTTTGAAACTACCAGCCATTTCATGGGAGAAAGATGAGGCTTTCTGCTCCCATAAAGGTTTACAGCCTCGGAAACCCTAGGCAGGGTCGCTATGAGTTGAAACTGATTCCATGGGGCACACCACTGCCACCACCATATAAAATTTAGTAAGAAAGCAAAGGAACAGGAAGTATCATAGAAAAATTAAGAAACAGGAAAAATAAATGTATACTTTCTGATGTATTTTTTTGTTTTATTTTTTTCTTCTGTTATATTTTTAATACTATAGGATGAAAAATAAGAATTAATTTAGAAGTCATAGAAGAAAAAATTTTCTTCTATCTTAAATTAACTCCAGTTTTTCACTTTATAGTATTCAGAATATAGGTCTGAAGGAGAATGTGAGGTAAATATTCAGATTAAAAGGGAAAGTTAAGTGTTGAGAGACTTAATGCAAAGTACACAAAACCACCCTGATTCTAAAAACCTCTAGAATTCAAAGACAAAATATGTGACCTCTGAAGAATGAGCAACAGATTGATATTTGACAACTTTTAAATACTGGATGGTATAAGACAATGCATCATTATCTTCAAACACTGAAGCGGAGATACTTCAGAAAGTTTTTATACATTCAAGAATGACAGCAACTTTGTTCACACATAGAAATATCAAAAAATTGTACCACCCACAGCATTTCTGAAAGAATTAAAAAGGAGTTATTACAGCAAAACAAAAAGTCCAAGAATGCAAAGGATGTGGAATCTATTGCTGAACAAACGAGTGGGTAAAATTTGATTCTATCTATAATACTAAAGACAATAGATATTTCCTATGCTCTGTAAATAGTTCTAGAGAACAGAAAAAAGATGAAAAGGTGCCATCGTCTTTTATCAGAGTAGCATAGCCCATACACCAACAGGAGATGAGAGCACAAAAATTTATGCCATAAAATGAATGTAATTTTTGAAAATAGATGACGCAAAAAAAGTTTTTTAAGAAACACTTTTAGTATGGCAGTTTATTACAGTAATAATATATCATGATCAAATAGGGTTTATCCCAGAAACATAAAGAATGTTGTATGTATGGAAATCTATTAATATAAATACTTCATGAGGAGTCCCAGTGTGACACTGTGGGATAAAGCACTGGATTACAAGGTCAGTTTGAACCACAAGGTCAGCAGTTCAAACTTTTTACTCGCTCCTTGAAAATCCTATTCAGGGTGACTATGAGATGGAACCAACTTAACAGCATTTAACAATAACAGCTTCATGAAAGGGGAAAACACTTTACGTCATCTTGATAGATGCTAAAAAATGATAAAATTCAAAATTTTTTGATAAAAAGTCTTGATAAGCTAGATGTAGTCAATCATATCTTAAACTTGAAAAAGGATTTTGTCAAGAAGCCAGGAGAATGTATTATACTTTATGGTAAAATATTTGAAACATTTCCTTTAGCGTGAAGAGCAAGGTAAGAATTCTACAATGCTCTAGGGGTTCTGGTCAATATAGTAATATAGAAAAGAAATTTTATAAATATTGAAAGGGAATGCTACTTAGGAAAGTCCAAGAAAATCAGCTGGAAATCTGACCAGAGAGCTCAGTAAGGTGGCTGGATGAGAGATAAAATAAACAATTTTCCTATAAATCACTGGCAATTGATACTATTAAATGTAAAAAATCCTATTCACAAAGGCAATAACAACTGTAATATATCTAGAAATAGACTAAGTGAGAACTATGTGATGTTTATAAAGAGAACTATACAGTTTTACTGAAGCACACACAAGAAACCTGAATAAAAGGAGACACATGTCATATTCTCTACGGCATATTTCCTATCAATATATACTTTGACAGCAAGTCCACATTAGTCTGAATTTCACAATAAAAGATGTACAAAAATGGTCAAGAATAATGTAAAAGAACTTACCCTACATGAGAATACAAAACTTACTATAAATTAAAGCCACTGAAAATCTGTGAGACTGGTATAGGAACTGACAGGTAAGTATAAAAATAAAAGAGAGCCCACCAAGAGTCACTCATACAAAAGAATCAGTGAGTTGGCATTTGAAATTAGTGGGGAAAGTGGTGTTGGAGCAATGTAGCTCCATTGAGAAAGATATAAAATTAGAGCATTACACATACATTCTAGATGGACTAAAGATAAAAATGTAAAATTATAAAAGTGCTAAAAGAAAACATAAGATAAATTTTTATCATCTTGGGAGTAGAGGAGGCCTTAAGCAAGACATAAAATCTAGAATCTATAAAAAAAGACTAGCAGATTCTACTCCATCAAAATGAAAAACTTTAGTATGGTACAAAATACCATTAAGTAAGCAAAACAAAAAGCTACAGACAGAGAGAACATCTTTATGGTAAGGTAATGAATCATTATTAACTATAATAAGAAGCTCCTGTAAATCAATACAAAAAAAAGTAACCCAATAAAAATGAGGAAATTATTTAAACAAATAATTCATACAACAGGAATTCCCATGGTGGATATACTTATGATCAGGGCTCAATATCTTGTTAGTGCAGTGCACACCTGGAAGGTGCCTTCTAGACCCTCTTTAGGAATGGAGGACATTAGGAGGCGGCTTCAAAAAGTTCATGAAAAAATGGAATGAAAAGGTAATGGAACTCTTCCGTGAACTTTTTAAACCCTCTTGGACTCCCATGGCTGCTGGGGCTGCTTCCTGAGAAGACACAGCCCCAGCTGTCAGCGCTCTTTGGATCCTGCCCCAGCTGAAGAAAACTGCCTTGGCCAAGGTCATACCTGTTCCTAGGGGCAGCTCACATTCAATTAACTGGTCATCATGGAGGTATGAAGCCCAGCACCCTCCTCTAAGGTTAGGACAAAGCTGAAGGTTCATCTCAGTCTTCAATTATATTGGTTTAAACTGAGCTCTACAGCTCAGTCTCTCCCTCTGACCAATCCTGCTTTCTTTTCCTTCCTTTTACAAGTGTTGCTGTCGAGAGCTCTCCCTAAAAATGTCCTGCATGCTAATCTGTCTCAGAGTCAGCTTCATGCCTATTAGAACTACAGCGAATGCAAGTTTCAAAGTAAGAACATTTTTTCTCCCTCACCCATCAGTGTGACTAAAGTAAAAAGACTGAAAACATACAGTGTGGATGTGATGAAATACACTCCTTCAGTTATTGTAAGGTAAAGTGTACACCAGTAGAGTCTCTGTGTTACATACTTTAGAATTATTTCTAACATGAAAAATAAGCATATCTTTTGACCCAGCTTTTCCACTTCAGGAAATTACTCTAGAGATAAGGATGCTCACTGCAGCTTGTGTGCAACACAGAGACAACCAAATCAGTCGATGGTGCAGCCATACTATAGAATACAAGGCAACAAGTAAAAGACAGTATTAAGCATATGTCTTAAAAGCCAGTTTATAGAATCACATGCATACAATCCATTTATGTAAAACGAAAACCCTCACCATTTGTGTATATAATGGCATAGCAAAGGGAAGATTCTCAAGACATTGTTGTAGAAATTGCCTAGTGGGAGGAGAGTGGGGTGAAGGAGGATTGAAGTGGATGCTCACATTGAATCTTCATACTTCAGTCTATAGAGCCTGTATGATTACATTACTTGTGTAATAATTTTTTAAAAAAGCTATTAACAGAAACACATACACGTGTTTGGGTTTCTCTTGCCCATGTCTCATGGCTTCCTCTTCCTGTTTGATCCTGAAATTATGATTTGCATGAGTCCTGTCACCTACTAGCATCCTTACTCATCCCTCTGCTTCCCCTCAGCCCCTAGGAGGACTTGGTAGCTTTGGCAGCTCATGTGTTAATTCTCCCTGATTTGAAGTCCATAGTTCTTTGAGCTAATTAAGAAACCTCCAGAATGTTAAGGAGCAATATTAAAGAGATGTCAAAGCTGGATGGTCAAAAGCTCAGGGCCACAAAATTTCAAGGAAATGACATCTACTTGATGGCCAGGGTGGATGATGATGGGACTGTTTCAGGGGACCACATGAAAGCATGTCCCCTTGCCAGAGCTCCTGATGCGAGAGATCTAGTTCAAGCCTTACCTGACCAACGATTCCGCTGAGCTCCCCCTCCAACATCTTCACTTGGCACTCCAGTAGTTCAATGTTGCTCAAGGAAGTCTGGTATTTATCCCGGTAGAGGTTTAAACTCCTTTCTAGAGAGACAATCTTATCCCCGGCCAAGGCAAGTTGTTTCTGTGCTATATGCAGCTCCTTCCCCATGTTCTCAGCATGACTTCCCATTTCCTCCTCATAGAGAATCACCTGTTGATGTAGGAATAAAACCATGCTTAACCCATGGACGTATCCAGTGAGGGAAGGATATGGCTATAAGACTCCATGCAGAGGAGTCTTTCAGTTAAACTAGAAACCCAGGTGAACAGAAGAGGTCCAGTACAGATCTCAAAGCTACAATATGTAACATTAGAACGTTAATGGCTAGTAACAAAAAGATAGTCCTGTTTAGATGGCAAACTCCATGAAGGCAGGACTATATCTATTTCCTGCTCTGCTTAGCATGTGGTAGAAACTCAGCAAATACTTGTTAGCTTATCGGTGGTGGTGAGCTGTCAAGTCGGTTCTGAATCACAGGGATGCAGTATAGGGCTTCTGAGGCTGTAAATCTTTATGGGAGCAGAATGCCTCATCTTTCTCCCATAGAGCAGTTGGTGGCTTTGAACTGCTGACCTTGCAATTAGCAGCCCAGCATGTAATCCACTGCACTACCAGGGTGCCAGTTAGTTAATTAATAGGACAGAATTTGTATAGTTTCTTGTTCTTTTTTAAGGGCTTGCAAAACTAATATTGCTTCTTTCCCAGGTGTTCTCTAGAGGTCTAATTTAGAAAACACAGAGCACCTTGTGTACACAGGTCCATGTCAGCAAGAATTCTAAGAAACACTAGAGGCATACAACCCCAAACTCCTCTGGGGTTTACATGATCCTTGTTTAGATTCTTTTTCTTTCTAATCAATTTATTAGTTAACCAACAGACAAATATTTATTGAATATTATTTCATTGAAACAATCAACTGAAATTTCTGATTTAAATATGAGCTTTGTGCTGTGGAAAGAAGATATAAAATTAGCATCAACTGTATACAGTTGACTGTGATAAAGTGTAAGACTTCAGTTACATGTGCTGAAGGGGTTACAAGCATGAAGAGTTATCAAGGAAGTCTTTATTTTGGTTCAAATAGTCCAGTATAGAATGTTGCTAGAAATTTTGCTAGCTGATTATATGTGCTACCCACCATTTGAGATTCTTCTTAGGAAATAATTATTTAGTCTGAGATGTTTATTAGATAAGGAGAAGAGGAAAGTAGTATTTTATACTCAGGTGTTTATAACAGAAATTACCATTGGTCCACTCATATACCCTTGGCACATGAATCAATTCCAACTGCCAGCACCTTTGTATCTTTGCCTGTTTTTCTGACCCCAAGAGACCATTCAGTCAGAAGGGTTAGACTGTCCTGGGGAGTTTGTATATCCAGGAATAGCTTCAACCAGTGACTCAGTGGGGCATGTTGGGATCACTCTGAGGCATATTCTACACTACTTCCCAGAGTACCTCAAAGGGACTGAACTCCAGTTGTCTACAGTGGTAACCTGCTTAATAGTGACTCCTTTACAGACTTCGTGCCCTTCCTTGTCTGACTTCTCCGCTCCTTCACTGTGCTTTCTGGGATGACCCCCTGAATGTAAATTCCTGGAGTACTGGTGTGACGCTGTAGGATAATGCACTGGGTGGCAACGTCAGCGGTTCAAACTTACCTGTAGCTCCTTGGAAATCCTATTATGGCATTGCTATGAGTTAGAACTAATTCAACAACAACAGCAACAACATTCATATCCTTGTCTCAGAGTCTGCTTTTGGGAGAACTCAGCTGTAGACAGAGGTGTGGTGATTCTATGTAGCCAAGAGCTGACTTTGGGAGTATTGGCAGGATGCCTCGAATCCAGTCTTCTGAAAATCCTAGGTTGGGATCTGTTGCAGTAACTGTTACTTTGATCTCATATAAATTCTTGCTCTCCTTAGTATTAGAATCCCTCTACGAATCCTGGTGTGGTGCTGCAGGATAATGTGCTAGACCTCAAGGTCAGTTTGAGACACAAGGTTGGTGGTTCAAACTCACCAGTTGCTCCTTGGAAACCCTACACAGGGTTACTATGAGTTTGAACTGACTTGATGGCACTTAACAACAACAGACTTTATTTGCAAAGCAATACACCTAACAAAAAACCCTTATTCCAGAGACCTTCTAGCAACTATCTATGGCCAATGACATATAAGTGGAAGTGTTGTTGGGTGCTTCTGGCTAGTGTCTTTAAACAGAAGGAGTATATCTTCATTTCATCACCAGCCTTCCTTCGTCCTGCTTATCTGGATCAAGGATGTGATGGCTGAAGCTCCAGAAACACTTTAGTGAACTAGAGAATGAAAGGCTTACGCTGAGGATGGTGGAACCAAAAGATAGGACACTGGGTACCTGGCATATGAAATCACCACCATGGTACTAGAATACCTACCTCCACACATCTTTTACGTGGCATAGAAATTATCTATCTTATCTAAGCCACTATCACTTTGGAGTTTTCTGTTAGATTCAAACAGTATCTCAACTAATTCTGGGTCATTTTGTCTAGGCTGGGTTCTACATGAATTCAGGTGAACCAGCCAGATTTAACCCAGGCCTGCACTAACTTTAGTGAACCATAGTTTATGCCCACAAGCTTTGTCTCATCCTCCTTTCCTTCTCCTGGTCATTTTTAGCAAATTCTCAGGTCATTAGACCATGGTAATGCTTTTTAAAAACTTCTTTGTCTGCAAGGTCCTCATAAAGCTCCTCAAGTCCTTATGCAATAGCATTGTCCAAAACATTCTTTGGAATTTTATCTTAAAGCTGAAGGGAGAAAAATGTCAGGAGAGACCAAAGAGTATAAGAGATGGCCTGTTCTGTCCCATTATGTAGAACCATGGTTTTAACGCTCCATAGCCTTGGATCTGGAGCTCTGGTAGCGTAGTGGTTACGAATCGGGCTGCGAGACGCAAGGTCAGCAGTTCGAAACTACCAGCAGTTCCACGGGAGAAAGATGAGGCTGTCTGCTCCCGTAAAGATTTACAGCCTTGGAAACCCTGTGTAGGGTTGCTATGAGTCGGAACCAACTCCACGGCACATAACAACAACAACAGCCTTGGCTGGTCTTTGGAATTTACTTGGGATTCTACAGAGATGCTACTTTCTTGTTTAAAAAGTACTGCCCTGGACCATGAATAGAAATAAATGTCTAGAATATACTTAAACCAAGTCCACATACTCTAAAACTCTAGTCTGAAAAAAATGACTGCTCTGGTACTCTTGATGATGGACTCAGATTCAATGTCTGGTTATCTTATCATCTGTGAAGGTGCCAGGAATTAATACCTTATCAAAAGCTGATCATCTAAAAATTGTTGATCTTATTTCTCTTTTGTAACTCTTAGAGACCTAGAGTCTTTTGCATTTTAGTGGCAATGGTAACAACAGATGGAGAAGATGGGCACACACCCTGCCCCATGTGCACTAACACCGGTCTGCTTAGTCTCCTTCTGCTCAGCTTCAGAAAGATCAAGAATTAAAGAGGGAAACTTTATAGAACCTGCTCAAATTGTTGTGATACTCTTCTTGGTAAGTCCAGTGTTTGACTTCTAGTAGGCTTGGTCTGATGAAGGAACATGGGCCTATGGGACATTTCTGTAGCTATGTTATCTATACCTCATCTTCTTTCAGTCTGCAGTGATGGTGAAGTTGAACCAGGTCACAAGTCTGCTTCTCTAGGATGGATTGATACTGCAGGAGGGAACAATATGAAGTCTGTAACTCCTCTGTGCGGAATTCCAGTTCTTGCTGAAGGTCCAGCAATTTTGCCTTCAGTTGTTGGAGCTGTCTCAGGTGACACTGTTTGCTGGACCCAAACTCCGTCTCGGACTCCTCAAATGCTAATGCTTGCTTCTTGTTCTGTAATACAAACTGAGTATACTGAAAAGGCTTTAGACTGTCACTAAGCATGCATTCAGTCTTTGATATTTTTCATTTGTTTAACTATTCACACATCCATCTAGCCATCCTTTTAACTTTTCATCTACAAAGTATTTATTAAACATTTCACTTTATTGGCAATAAATATGTTTCGTTTACTGTTTCTCTTCCTATAAGATGAAAACTCCATGTTTGTCTTGTTTATACCCTCCTGTATCCCTAGAACCTAGAACAGTGCATGGCATATGGTTGGTGCACTATCATTTTTTTGAACACATAAAATAAAAAGTATGAAATACCCATTGACTGGTAAATGGATACACTGTAGTATGTTTATACAAGGGAATACGATTCAGCCATAAAAAGGGGCAGAATAGTGACTCATGCTACAACAGAGATAAACCTGAAAAGCATCATGCTAAGTGAAAGAAGCAAAAGATGACTCCATTTATATGATTCCATTTATATGTTGTTATTTTTAAGTGCCATTGAGTTGATTCCGACCCATAGCAACCCTGTATAGGGTTTCCAAGGAGCAGCTGGTGAGCTTGAACCACCAACCTTGCAGTTCAAACAACTTTGCATTCTGACGCATTAGCCCACAGTGCCACATCAGGATTCCCTCACTTCTATGAAGTGCCCAGAAAAGACAAACCTTGAGAAGAAGGAAGTAAATTAGTAGTTGCCTGGGTCTGGGGATTAGAACAAGGAATAACTGCAATGGGACACAAAGGTATTTTGGAGAGTGATGGAAATGTTTTCAAACTAGATCAGGAACACTAAGGAGGAAAATAAAGCTGGGAAGAGAGAAGAGGTCTGCCTGGATAGTGGAGGTAGTAATTCTGAATTACAGGTGCTGGGAAGGTCACATTGAGAAGGTTATATTTGAGCTAGGACTTGAAGGAGACAAGGGAAGGAGTCTGGTGGAAATGTGTAGCAGGAAAATTCAAGGGAGAGATAACAGCAAGAACAAAAGTCTGGAGGTGGGAACGGGCTGGGTGGTGTCTGTAGAGATAGAGGAGCAGAGAGGAGGTCAGAGAGGAAGTGGAAGTGAGACCCTTTAACTCCTCATTTCAGTGAGATGAAAGACTGTTGGAATGTCAGGATAGCCCATAGATTTTACAAAGGGCACACTGGTTGTCCTACAGAGGACAAACTGTAAGGAGGCTAAGACAGAAGGAGATCAGTTGGGAGAATCTAGGCATGAATCTAGGCATGAAAGGATGGTGGTGTGTGGACCATTGTGGGAGCAGTGGAGGTTGAGAGAGTAGATGGATTCTAGAGCCTTTCGGATTTGCTTATGTGTTAGAGGTGGAAGAAAAAGGCAAAATGACCCCATGCTTTGGCCCTGAGTAACTGACATTGTAGTGAGAGTAATTCAGGAAAAGCTGGGACCTAAAAGAAAATATTTCGTCTCCTGAAGGTGAGTGGTGACAGCTCAGATAAGGGACGGAAGACTCAATCCAGAGACAATCGCTGATTGTGTTAGTTCAATCTGAATGACTCTTTCCTGCCTCTCCTAGAAGTTTATCTCACCCTAAATGTCTCAGAAGGGAGAAAACAGACAGAGAAAATGGATCGCAGTGGTCACCAAGCAAAATTAACCCTAGACAAAGACAAGCTGAACTCTTGGCATGAATATCTGGAGTATGTGGCTGGAGGGAAGTTGATGAGCCTGCTTGCTGAAGTCCAGCAAAGCTGTTTTGTATTTACTTTGTGTAGCTATAATTGCCACCATTTATATTAAGTATTAGTTAATGCTTTCATTCTTTTCAAGATATGGATGTTGCTAGTCTCACAACTGATTTGCATCTAAAAATGAGTTTTGGAGATCAGGGAGTTTGGAGTAGTGTCATGTGACTATGTGTCTGTGTACAGGAGTGTTTTCTCAAGAAAGAGGTTAACTATTAAAAAGATGTGCTTAATGGAGATAGAACGTAAAGCAAAGAAGTGAATATAAGGGATTAGGAGGCAAATAAACAACAAAATGCTTATCAGATTTTGCCATTTCCCGCCCCCCGCTCCTCTTGACTTTGTTGACGTTTTGAAGATGTTCCCATCTCTGAGAATTAAACTGGATTCTGGGTGCTTTTAGAACTAGTGTGTAACTGTTGATTTGGACCTCTCTCTCCATCACTGGCCATGTCTGACTCAGTTGAACACTAGCTGTGGTCCCCTGTGTTCTCTCCATTAGTGACTATTTGTTATATGCTTCCTCTTCTATGTACCCATGATTTTCTTATTTTCCAAAATAATGAGAGAAATACTCTTCTTTTAAAAGAAGGCAAACTCTTTCTTTAGAGGTTCCTTTTGTAACACTTGGGAAATTATCTGTACTCAGCTATATTCATACGTGTATTTTGGCTTTAAAGCTTCCTGAGCATAAAGAATGTCTTTCCGATGTGGTATGTAGAAAGCTTAGCAACCGAGCAGTAACACTGATGAACTGCTAATAATTCCTCTTCCCCAGAAGTCATGTTCAATTGTCTGGTCTAAAATAACATGATGGACCAGGCAGATGATCAGAGTTTACCCAAACTCCTCAAGACAGAGAAAACATAGCACCAGATCTGATTTTTCAGGTTATAAAGAACTGCTTCTGTATGCAGAGGAACTAGAGTTTTCTTAGGTTTTTAAATATTTGGATAATACAGACAACCATGGGTTTAAGAGAAATCAAATTTCAAAGACTTGGAGAAATGCTAAGCTTATTTAAGAGCTATTAAATTTCAACTTATTTATCTTTTCATATTCAAAGGGTTATTTTTCTTAATTCTAAATGAATAGGAACTGTCATGCTATGGATTCAACCTGGATTTCACTTATATATGTGCCAAAGAGCTGTATTATCAAGGCATGAACACTTTTCATATTGCTTCTTCTTTCTTTCTAGTGAAGACATAAATATATTACTAGGGTTTTGTTTTTGTTTTGTTTTTTCCATTTTTAAGTTGAGGTCTGGAGAAAATAAACAAGGTAGAAATTATTTTAGGACAAGAAAGTTAGTTCTTGACTAAGAATCTAGAACTGGACATGTTCTGGAAGCCATCTGGTCTACCAGGTTCCTCAGATAAGTTTTTATCTGGGTCTTAGATGTCTGAAAAGATGGAATATACTGGCCACCCACAGGAACCTGTTCCCATTTTTAGTCAATATTTCAGGCCTACTCATGGTCAAAGAGATTATAGCTATTGCTTCCTCCTTGCCTATGTGACCACTTGATCACAGAAGGAAATTAATTGGCCTGGCATGATGTGCCTTTTGAAAAGTCACATTGGTTTCCACCCAATACTTTAGCGCTTTTCAAGTTGATGCTAATTGATTAATGTTAAATTCTATATTTTCCCTGATATTGAAGTTAAGCTGACAGGTCTGTAATTACCAGGATTGTCCTTTTTCCCTTTTTAAAAAGATGAGCACTTCATTTACCCTTTTTCAGTCTACAGGGACTTTCTTTTTATCCTCTTGAGTTCTCAAAAATAATCGCTAGCAGCTATGTAATAACACCTGCCAATTCCTTAAGTACTCTTCGAAGTATGTCATCAGGCTGTGCTGATTTGCCTAAAGCCAGCTTTTCTCAAAATACTTTTTAACCATTTTATTCCTGTTCTAGTTCTCTCTGATTCTCTCTCGCGGGTTGCCTTTGTTCTGATAGACGGATCTCTGATTTTTTTTTTTTTCTCATTTAGGAAATGAAAACCTCACTGCTCTTTTTTATAGTCATTGTTATTAATTTCTTTCCTATCTTTGTGGTATTGAGTGAGATATTTTCCTTGTTAATTCTAGCTTAGCCTTACGTCATTAGATAGGTTTGTTTGTTAACTTTTTATGTCATCTACAAACTGCATTTTCTAATTTTTGGGAAAGCATAGAAGAACAGTGTGTTTAAGTTACATGCCTTTCTTTTGGATACATCTTTGTGGCACAGACATTTACCAGAGGTTTCCTTTTAAAAAACATACTTTTTATTTTATAATCATTTTAGATTTATAGAAAACTTGCAAAAATAGTAGAGAGAGTTCCTATGTACCTTTTACCCAGATTCCCCAAATGTTAACATCATATATAACTATGGTTCATTTGTTCTAACTAAAAAAGTAACATTGGAAGAATACTAGGAACTAAAGTGAAAGCTTTTTTTTTGCTGTTGTTGTTCATGCTTTTCCACCTAGGTCTTTTTTCCTGTTCCAGGAGCCAATCTAGAGTCCCACATTGCATTTAGTAGATTAATATCTTACATCTTTTTCTTTTCATTCCCAATGATTCCAAATGATGTCTATATGTGATCATTTCCATCAAGGTTCCATTAAACTTTATATACTCAATGAATAACTTTTATCTGCAGGAATTAGATTTGCTTTACATAATTTTGGGCTAAAAATAATACCCTCCATATATTCCAGAGATCCATGTCACAATCAAAGAACTACAGAATGTCAGGATATGTACCCCACAACAGTGCTGGTGCCAACGAAGTTTGGGACATTTACTCAGAAGGCCTTCCCTTTTTGAATTGGATCATCACTCTCCTGTGATATTTCCAGTGTCCTTTCCTTGTTTCATTTTGAGTCAATCTTTTGAGTTTGAATCTACATGTAATTGTGTATTTGTATGCAGAGTCTGCAATTTAAATTCTGCACTAAGTGCTAGGGGAGGATTTTTTTTTTTTAAAGCTGATCTTAAACCTTGTCTCAAGCTTCTGGGTAATTAGAATAATAAAACACGATTTAATATCTTTCTTCTTTCAAGTTGCCAGGTACATTTATAAGCCTCCTGACTGGGGGAATAAGTAAACTCAGGACAGCAATGGTGAAAAAATTCTAAAATGTTAATATTTATAAAGAGGTGAATTATGATCATCTTCTTCCTGAGATTCATTTAAGAAAACACACAGACGTTTCTCCAGCTTTGACTTCCTGGGGAAAGGAAGGTACTGACTGTGCAGTCAGGTGAGGTAGAACTGCTGTGTTGGTAGGATTTTAAGGGCATCGCAGACAAACAATTTGTGGTTTCTCTAGTGAGGTGGTAAGTCCTGGGAGAACTCTAATAGATATCGTTAAAGGAGACCAGGTCCTTCACCACAAATGCTGAAGAGTTGGATGCTTAAACAGCATCTGAGTGGATAACTTCAAGGTCCAGCAACAGATCTGTGTAACCAGTGCCAGCTTTATGTTTACCAAGAGTTTAAGTTCCTAAATAGACAGGAAGACTGCAAGCAGGAAATTCTTGGGAAGCCCAAGTTTTTAGGGAGCTGGTGTGGCACTGTGGGATAAATCACTAGACCACAAGGTCAGTTGAACAACAAGGTCAGTGGTTCAAACTCACCAGCTGCTCCTTGGAAACCCTATACAGGGTTGCTATAAGTCAGAACTGACTCAATGGCATGTAACAACAACAACGGAAAAGAAATATGCATTTGAGTTATGGTGCTGGATAAGAATGTTAAAGGTACCATGAACTGCTAGAAGAACAAACAAATCTGTCTTGGAAGAAACACAGCCAGATTGCTCCTTAGGAGCTAGGATGGCAAGACTTCATTTCTCATACTTCAGACTTGGTATCAGGAGGGACCAGTCCCTGGAGGAGGACATCATGCTTGGTAAAGTGGAGGGTTAATCAAAAAGAGGGAGACCCCAATGAGATGGATTGGCATAGTGACAGCAGCAATGGGCTCAAGCTTAACAATTGTGAGATTGGCACAATGTTTTATTCTGTTGTACATAAGTTCTCTAGGAGTCAGAATCAACTCAAAGGCATCTAACAACAGCAACAAAAACAACAACAATATGTGAAAGTATTTCCCAGCTGGCTTTTCAGCTTGTATGGATGAGATTTAGAGACTGGTTTATGGATCTAAGGTTTACAGTTTCCTGAGAGAAAACCTGAGGCTGATTATGAAATCGACTCACCTAAGGACTGGTTCCAAACCACAAGCTAAGAAAGATGATCACACCAGGAGGCCTGAGCTAACAACATGCACAGGGCCTTAGAAGCAAGCATTGTGACAAAGAAATGAGTGTAAGTCATAGTTTATTTGGGAGGTGACACCAGGGCTTGGAGTCAGTTCATTCTGCTTAGACTCCCTATGGAGAATTTTCATTTCTCCATTTTAATGAGATTTAAAAAAATTTTAACAATGTCACTTTTGGATCTTGTTAAAATGTAGATTCTGATTGAGCACTATCTAGGGGGGAAGAGCAAATTCTCAGCAGAACTCCTGGGTGAACCTCTGATAGGGGAGCTGGAACCTGAGGCAGAAAAGGGGAAGAAGCTGATAATGGTGTGCTCTCATTACAGCCCTGGTGGTGCAGTGGGTTAAGCCTTGGGTGGTGGTTCAAACCTGTGTGCTATTCTGTGGGAGGAAAAGATGAGGCAGTATAGATACTTCTATAGAGATTTACAGTTCCTGAAATCCTGTCGAGCAGTCCTCAGAAACCCTAGATGGGGTCACAATGAGTCTGAACCGACTCGATGGCACTTAACAACAACAATATTGACTCACAATGACTGTGGATGGGGCTTATGGGTACTGTAAATCCAGGTACAAGGATCAGAGAAGCAGTAAAGAACAGAGCCACAGATGTAGATTACCTTGGAGATAGCTAGATTGCAAAATCCTGAGGACAAGCAAGGGGGTTTCCATTCCCAGGTGTTAGGGTGTGTGTTTAATGACATCCCCGAGACTGCGCCATTAATGCTCTTGACTGACAGACGAAAGAACTTCTCTATTCCTCCTGCTCAAGGAAGCAGAGGTAGGTGGCAGCTGCTGAGTGCCTTACCTGGCTGCTGGTCATCATTTCATCCTCTTCACAGAGCTGATTCTCCTGCAAAGTCTTTCCTCGTCTCTTGCAGACATTATGTAGATTCTTGATGTCAGTTTGCAGGCTCAAGAGCTTTTTGTTCAGGCTGCTCCCTTCTCTGTCTTTCTCTCCCACCTAGGAAGCCCGAAAAAACAAAAGTATAAATTATGAACTATCTAGAAAATGCTCACTGTAGTTTACTTAACAGGTTGACAGAGACTTTACATTTGCTGGAAATTTGTCCATCACCCCTTAGTTAATGCTCATCCTCTGTGGCATTTACACAGGCTCCATTGAAAGGTGTCTGAGTGCTCTGCATTATTCAGACAATTACTTATTTATATTAATTAATCTTCACCACATTGCTGCGGAAGCATCACAGACATTTTTCCTGTTTTTCATGAGGCAGTCAGAGTAGAATAATTTCAGGCACCCAGGGTGGTGCTGTGGATGAATGCACTGGACTGACTGCAAGGTCGCTTTGAACTGCAAGGTCAGCAGTTCAAGCTCATCAGCCACTCTTCAGAAACCCAATACAGGGTTCCTATGAGTTGGAATAGACTCGAGGGCACTTAACAACAACAAGTGGACTCTCAAGAAGACCTGACAGTATAACGGTCAAGCGGTCAAGCTGTTAACAGAAAAGCTAGTTGTTTGAAGCCTCCAGTTGTTCCAGGGAGAAAGATGAGACAGCCTGCTTCCATACAGATGACAACCTTGGAAACCCTATGGGGCAGTTCTATTCTGTTATGAGTTGGAACTCAAGGGCAACAGGGTTAGTGGACCGTCTATAAACATTGCTGGTTCTGTCACTGTTGAACACATTGAGGTGAAAAGTGAGCTTGCTAAGGTTATACTGAATCAGTGATGGGGTGATTGTGGGATTCTGAAGTAGTGTAACTTTCTCTTCTACCTATTAAGTCCACATACCACCCTCACCTAATAAACCTTTTGCTTTTCTTTCAAGCAATGGAGCAATGATAAAATTCCCTAGGTTGATTGCTTAAGTTGCCTGTTTTTTTTTCATTATGAGTGAAAAGGATTAGCTAATTATTGCTAGGTCAGACTGGAACTGAGTGATTAAGATCAAAATAAGAGTGAGAAAGAGCAACTTGGTAGGGCTACAGGGCAGGGCTCTATCACACCAGGAGGCTGCCCTCGACTCTCAGGGTCATGGATGCCAATGGTGGGGACGGAAAGCCTTCTGTGGTCCTGAACACTGCGTCCACTCTATCACGGCTTTCCAGAACACCCATGAGAGCTGGCGTTACTATCTCTGAGGTCGAGATTTAGAAATGAGCAAGGCCCTGTGCTTTTGTGGTAGATGCCTTTCTTAGGTTCCATTACTCAGAAACTAACTCTGAGATGGGGATTCATGAGCTTAGTTAAAGAAACGCTCCCAAGAGAAACCAGTAAGCAACTTGGGCTAGCAAGACAGGGAAGGGGAAGAGCCCAAGTGAGGGTGCTATTCCACACAAAGTCCTGTAGGAAAGTAGCTTTAGCTGGATCCTACAGAGAACTCTTGGGTGTACGTTATACCTCAGTTTGTCATGACTAGAGGAAATAAAAGCTGGAATGCCAAACACATGCATCAGTTAGTGAATGGCCCTGAGCAACCCCATGGAATCCTAAGTACTTCTAGCTCTCTGTTCCTAGGGTCAAAGCAGCCCCAATAGCCAACAGGTCATCCTCCTAAAAGTTTCAGCTGTAAAAGCACACAGAAGCCAGGGTGGTGTGGACAGAAATGGTGGAGATCTAAGCCACAGAGCCCAAGGTGGTTAGCAGGCGTTCCCATAGCCAGTGTTCTGGCATCATATCCCACTGATGGATCTGACTTCTTAAATATATGAGATACATAACCTACATTCCCAAGGGTACTGGAGACTTGATGTAGAAATGGTAACTCAAGTCTTAGGGGAGAGGTCAGTTTAAGAAACCTCTGTGAGTAGGTGGTGGGGGACAAAGGACAAACCTGAGATTCGGACACTGCAATGTCAGAGTATTCGGAATTCAGAAGGTTTCCCAGAAGCGATGCTGTCTCAGCTGATTTATTTCTTCATTTCCATTTAGTACCTGGATTTTTTTTTTTTTAACCACTTTACAGTTTAATTAGGTTAACGGCATGGCTCTGTCATTAAAAGGATTTCATTATCTCAAAGCTCTCCCTCCTCTTTTGCTCCCTTCCCTTGTTCCTTGCTTCCAGAAAAATAACAGTAGATGTCACGTGCCCTAAGCACGTAATGACCATTAAGACAATTACCAGAGACTCTTTTAAGATGATGCGTGTGAGCAGCGGGGGTAGAAAAAGAAGAAGAAGGAAAAAGGGTGTACAGATACTGTTTTCTAACTTGAAAATAAAATCCTTGACTCTGCAAAGAGCAGCAGATTGATCCCAATGCTTTAAGTCTTTGGCTCACAGTTGCCACACTAGGAATAGGGTATGGAGTCTTGTTGAAGAGCTACACTTTTGGGACTCTCTTTCCTTGGCATGTATAAGAAGATTAGGTGATATAATACAATGCCTGCTCTAGCCAAGTGCTAGATTTGACTTGAAATTGAATATATGAGGGTGCTTCTCTGGTGGGAAAATTCCATGATCTATTCATTCAGTTTCTCCACGAACTTTTTGTGTGTGCGTATCTTAAGGTGAGGACCTTGCCATCAGGTTGTGCCATATAGAGTCTAGCACACTGTGGAGTCACAAAATAACAATAACAACTTGAGCCTCTCTGAATTAAAAGCATTTAGCTCTATTTTTTCCAGACCAATAAAAAAGAATGCTTCCTCCCTCCAGTTTTGAATGTGCTAAGAGCAGAGGACACACTAGCCCAATTCTGTGGCACCAACAGAATTTCAAGGCTTTAGTATGGATGATCTCATCTAATTTGGACCTTAGCACTGACCTGAGTGGGGCAGTTTCTTCATTCATAAAGGAAGTTAAACTAACTAATTTTCCTTTGGAAATTCCTTAAATTACTTGAGTAAATGCTGGGTTTTGCTGAATGTCAAATGAAATTAGTTTTAAAAATAAAAACTTGATCATTTACTACTAAAGCCCAAATCATAAAGGGCATCTGATTCCTATGTCCATCTCGCTCTGGGAGAGCAGTAAAGTGATTTCCGTGAACTACGAACTATATCGTCTGTCACTTTGTCATACTGTGGTGGCTCGCATGTTGCTGTGATTCTGGAAACCATGCCAAGGTTATTTTAAATACCAGCAGTGTTACCCACAGTGGACAGGTTTCAGCTGAGCTTCCAGATGAAGACAGACTAGGAAGAAGGAAAGACGGACTACTTCCGAATATTTAGTCACTGAAAATCCTAGGAGAAGCACCAGAATACTGAATATTGAAACACGATAAAGAACACCAGAATATTATCAGATATAGTGTCAGAAGACAAGCCCCTCAGATTGGAAGGCACTCAAAATACGTGACTCGGGAAGAGCTGCCTCCTCAAAGTAGAGTTGACCCTGATAACACAAATGGAGTAAAGCCTTCAGGACCTTCATTTTGCTGGTGGGCACTACTCGAAATGAAGAGAAACAGCTGTAAACACCATTAATAATTGGGACATGGAATATTATAAAGTATGATTCTAGAGAAAATGGAAAATTGTCATAAATGAAATAGAACACATAAACACTGATATCCTAGGCATTAATTAGCTAAAATGGACACTGGTATTGGCCATTTTGAATCTGACAATCACATGGGTTACTATGCCAAGAATGACAAGTTGAGGAAGAATGGTGTCACATTCATCATCAAAAAGAACACATCAAGATCTGTCTGTGATAGGATAATATCCATACTCCTACAAGGAAGTATAACACTGTCTGTGATAGGACAATATCTATACACCTACAAGGAAGACCAGTTAAATACCACTGTTATTCACATTTACGCACCAATCAGTAGAGCTAGTGATGATGAAACTGAAGAATTCTATCAACTTCTTCAGTCTGAAATTTATCAACCATGCAATCAAGAAGTATTTATAATTAGAATGCAAAGGTTGGGAGCAAAGAGGAAGAATCAATAGCTGGAAAATATGGCCTTGGTGATAGAAACGATGATGGAGATTGCATGAAAGAATTTTCCAAGACCAATGACATGTTCATTGCAAATATCTTTTTTAAGCAGCAGAAAAGACAAATGGCCAAAAGACTGAATGATACAGAATATGTCAAAAGAAGATGGAAGGAATAAACAGAGTCACTGTACCAAAAAGAAATGGTTGCTGTTCAACCATTTCAGAGGGTAGCATATAATTAAGGGCCAATGATACTGAAGGAAGAAGTCCAAGGTGCACTGAAGGCATTGGCAAAGAACAAGGTGCTGGGAATTGATGGAATACAAATTGAAATCTTTCAACAAACAGGCAGCACTGGAGGCACTCACTCATCTCACTCCTCACTCATCTATGCCAAGAAATTTCTAAGACAATGACCTGGCCAGCTGACTGGAAGAGATTCATATTTGTGTCCATTCCAAAGAGAGGTGACCCAACAGAATGTGGAAATTATTGGACAATATCATTAATATCGCATGCAAATAAAATTTTGCTAAAGATTAAAACAAAAATGGCTACAACCAAACACTGACAGAGAACTTCCAGAGGTTCAAGCTGGATTCAGAAGAGGATGTGGAATGACCTACGGATTTTGGCTGAGAGAAGAGAAAACCATAAAGATGTTTACCTGTGCTTTATTGACTATGCAAAGGCTTTCAATTGCGTGGATCATGACAAGCTATGGACAACACTGTGAGAATGAATATTCTGGAACACTTAATTGTACTCATGAGACACCTGCACATAGACCAAGAGGCAGTTTTTGAACAGAACAAGGGAACACCAAATGGTTTAAAATTAGGAAAAGTGTGCACCAGGGTGGTATTCTTATTCCATTAGTAAGATAAGCAAATAATTTGAGAAGCTGGACTATATGAAGAAAAACGTGGCATCAGGACTGGAGGAAGACTCATTAAACAACCTGTGATATGCAGATGACAACAACCTTGCTTGCTGAAAGTGAAGAGGACTTAAAATTCTTATAGATGAAGATGAAAGACCACAGCCTTCAGTATGGGTTGTTTTGTCAACGTAAAGAAACAAAAATCCTTGCCATGGGACCAATAAGCAATATCTATATAAATGGAGAAAAGACTGAAGTTGTCAAAGACTTCAATTTTTTTGGCTGAACCATCAACACTCATGGAAGCAGCAGTCAAGAAATTAAACAATGTATTGCATTAGGCAAATGTGCTACTTAAGACTTTTTTAAAGTGTTGAAGAGCAAAGATATCAGCTGGAGGACTACGATGCACTTGACCAAGCCATGGTATTTTCAATAACCTCATATGCATGCAAAAGTTGAAGAATTGATGCATTTGCATTATGGTGCTGGAGGAGAATATTGAAAGTACCATGGATTGCCAAAGGAACAAACCAATCTGTGGAAGAAGTAGCCAGAAAAAAAAAGACTTCATTTTTCATACTCCAGACATATTATTAGGAGGAACCAGTCCCTGGAGAAGGATATCATGTTTGGTAAAGTGGAGGGTCAGAGAAAAATAGGAAGACCCCCAACGAGATGGATTGGCACAGTAGCAGCAACAATTGGGTCAAATGTTGCAATGACCGTGAGTGGACGCAGCACTGGGTAGTGTTTTCTTCTGTTGTGCATAGGGTTGTGATGAGTCAGTACTGACTTGAAGGCACCTAACAACAACAAAAATGAACATTTTTTTTTTTTTTTTTTTTTACTGTGGGTTGTTGTAAGAAGGGGCTGTGTACGCTATAGAACTCCAGAGAGATCTGTGCTTCTGAGATTTCAGTAAACTAATTACTTGCTAATATCTTACACAGAGGTCAAGTTAAACTGTTTAGAATCCTATCTACTTCATGAAGGCTAATTCTAAGCAGATACCTTTTGCTTATCAATATGCAGTAAGAATTGATTTAATCTGACATTTCATCAATCAAAGCCCTATAACCACTACTAGGGCATGAGATGAACTGAGAGTCAAGACAGTGACCCTTAGGCATCATAGGGTCCTGGCCTGGACCTGAAGTCATTAAGGACAGCTGAAATCACAAGCCTCCGGCACTAGGTGTGTTTTCACTTACACAAGCCATGTACATAAATTTAAAATTTACTGGAAATAAAAGATAGGAACCTGGTCGTTCTGCTTGAGAATATGTGACATCATCAACAGCTACCATGCCACTGGCAAAATGTAAGTGCTGATACTGCAGTTATGACCATATTCATGACAAATATTGGAAAATAGGTTATTTACTGAAGCAAGTTTTCTATATTGATTAAAAGGGCACTCTCTCCCCCACCAAAAGAGCGCAACTTATTGAACATATATTTCAAAGAGGGAAGACATTTTGCTCTAGGTTTCAAAACATCAAAAGATGGTGTCAGACTTCTTGGAATGAAGACCAGAACGACCAGGTCCCTATCTTTTATTTCCATTTGAAACTTAATGTTAAATTGAAGCTTCTGACTCAGTAGCACTCTAAGGGCCCTAGAGAATGAAAAAGATTAAAAATTAAAAATGGAAGCATTCCTAGTGATTTGGCACTATAACAAGAAGGCCTGATTAACAGTTTCCAGAGTTACTTGGGAGTTAACCAATCATGGTATAAAGGTCATTATCATCATTGGAAAACCATCTTCTTTGATCTAGGAGGAGGACAAATATTCACCAATGAAAACTACTTTTAACCACCACCATCAGCACAATCGCTCAGAAGACATCAATTTATGGTGAGAGTGGTGCTTTAAAAGACAGGAAATTTTAAAAATGAATGCTTCTTCAGGAATTTTCACATTTTACTTGTGTAATAGTAGAGTTTGGCGCTGTTGGTTAATGCACGGGACTGCAAAATCTGTTTGAACCGCAAGGTCAGTGGTTCAAGCTCACCAGCTGATCCTGAGAAACCCTGTACAGGGTCTCTGTGAGTCAGAACCAACTCAATGGCACTTCACAACACAACGGCAGCAGCAATTTCCAACACTGGTATTGATATGACTAATAACTTTATTCCTGAGTTTACTGTTCCAATTATAGAAACACTGAATTAATGAGCATTAAAACAAGGTTTTGCCTGTGAGCCAAAATTTTGGAACCAATTATCTTCATACAGTGAACTATGAATATACTTCATTGTGTTCTGAGTTCTTGAAACACTGACCACTGTGTAAGTATGTGGTGACACTTTAGGGATGGAGTCTGGTGTGATGCTGTAGGATAAGCACTGGACCACAAGGTCAATTTGAACTGCAAGGTTAGCAGTTCAAATCCACCAGCTGCTCCATGGAAACCCTATACATGCTTGCTGTGAGTTGGAACCTATTCAATGGCACTAATCAACATACTTTAGGGATACACATGTATCTGGCAGAGGTTAGCCACCTAGGGAATGTGGGCTGATTTTGATTGGTGAGTGGGCAGTTGCCACATCCTTTTCTGCACCACATCCTTGGAGAATTTACTCCACTAGAAGGTAAACTCCATGAGAGGAGGGATCTTGGTCTATTTTGTTCAGTGCTCTATCCTCAGCTCCTAGAACTCTATCTGGTGCATCAAAGATGATCCAAAGGTACCAGCTGAGAGAACAATGGCCTTGTAGAAAACCCACACCTGATCTTTATTTCCTGTCAAAGAGGCCATACAACTCCCTTTAGTAAACTAGCAGGAAAAGAGCTGAAACTTGTCACACCTCATTTAGAAGCTGCTCACCACTTGGTAGGGTGCCTGCTAAAAGCCATGTCATATATCACATTCTATCATCTAGCAGGTTACCTGTTTCGTGGTAGCAGTAAGTGACCATGGTGAATCACATACCGGTTCTTAATGTGGAAGCAACACAGTTTATTTCTGCTCATGTTTCACTGGCCAAAGTCAATGAAAACCTATAGTAACCAAAACGGACACCTTCAATCCTTTCTGAAACATGTCAGGGAACATGTAATTTTGACCAAAATATTAGACTAATCAGAACACTCCATTTTTACACTATTCCAGATAAGAATATTGGAAACACTACTATCTCGTTTAATCCTCACAGCAAGCTTTTGAAACAGTTGTTCATTATCTTTATTTTCTATGACTTAACCTAAACTAAACTAGGAGTCCTAGTGTGGCACTGTGGGTTAATGTGCTGGACTGCAAGGCTGGTTTGAACTGCAAGGTCGGTGGTTCAAGCTCACCAGCCATACCTCAGAAACCCTACACAGGGTCGCTATGAGTCAGAACTGACTCGATGGCACTTAACAACAACAACCTAAACTAAGGAGTCTTGGTATGGCACTGCTGGGTAAGCACTGGACTGCTCACTTCAAACCAACCAGCAGCTCCTCAGAACCTTATACAGGGGCACTAGGAGTCAGAATCCAGTCAACGGGACTTAGCGACAATAACAACCTAAACTCAACTCCCAGTGACCATATCGACAGAGGAGAACTGCCCCTTCGGGTTTCCAAAGCTGTCATCTTTACGGAAGCTGACTGCCACACTTCCTCCTGTGGTGTGTCTGGTGGGTTCAAAGCTCTGACCTTTTGATTAGTAAGCAAGCACTTAACAACTGATAACCAATGGATTCATTTTGTAGGTTAGGCAAAGGAAATTCAGAGTAGGTTGGTAACATACCCAATATTATACTGCTATTGGATTTGGACCCGACCCATGCCTGGCACCACCGTCCTTATACACTATGCTCTGCTGCCCTCTTCTCACAGTGACTGTTTGTACTACTTACTACTGGAATTCTAAATCGTGATTCTTCAAAGACATTGTATGTAATGAGGGCTTTGAACCAGCTCAGTCCCAAATCTCATTCATGACTGATGAAGTGACACCAGAATGGATGTGAAGTGTTAAAACATGGGTGAACCAGAGTGATAGCTAGAATGGGAAAAATTATAAGTAGAAGCCCTGCTAGAAATTTAATCTCTCACGTAGAAAACAAGGGCAGCATACATGTTGCATAGAAACTCAATCTCTTGACTGGCTATGTTGAAAACAACAGTGGCCAGCTCCAAGATGGTGGTAAACTGCAGCTTTGTCTATCATTCTCCACAGGCCTGGCAATAATCCAACATCAAGCATCAGTCTCCTGAAAGGGCTCAACAGGCCTCTTCCAAGTCTCTCACTCCAAGGCTTGGACAACTTTTCAGCTAGCTCTCTAGATTAACCACCCCCCCGCAAAAAAAAAAAAAAAAAAAAATGGAGTCAGTTCTGGTTTTCCTTCATTGTCTATGACTGAACTGGTTTAAACTGGTTTGAAGGCCTACCTTAACGAAGGTTCATCTCCATATATGTAGTGGAATTAGGGTACTTACCTCATCTTTTACTTCCTTGGCAGCTCTCAACTCTTCTTTAAGTCGTAGCATTTTCTGAGCTTTGTTATAAATCTGAAAAAGTTCAAGTGTTTTAAGATGGAAAAGTACAAATAAGTCTGGCCTTTTAAATATTTTCCTACTTGGATCTGTGCTATCAGTATATAGGGATTGGAACATTTTTCTGAACCATTAGCAGTACCTATTTGCCTACCCATCGGTCTTTGTTTTCAAAAGTGTGTCACAACCTTCATCAGGGAGACAGGACAATGGTTTTACATCTTTTCCTGAAGACCATTTCTCAGAGAACCAAATAGTTTCTGGATTCAGCATTTGGGAATGTAAAAGGTCTCAATTGGTTTACTTTTTAGGTGTGGCACTGTAGGACCAGCAACGGACTTCAAACAAGGTTCAGAAATCCTATACAAGGTTGCTATGAGTTGGAATTGACTCAATGGCACTTAACAACAACAATGACAAGTATCCTATGACTGAAATGCAGTTAATATTATGTACTAATTATGAAATAAGCACTGGACTGCTAACCACAAGACTGGCAGTTCAAACCCACCAGCTACTCCTCGGAAACCCTATACAGGGTTACTATGAGTTAGATGGTACTTAACAACAATTATGAACTTAGCATTGTATTAACCTTTCTATGTGCATGGCCCAGTTTATCTTCCCAATAACCTTGCAAGACAGGTGTTATTACTAACCTAATTTTACAGAGGAGGAAACTGAGGTCCACAAGAGGCTAAGTGACTTACCCAAGATCACACAGTCTCTTTAACTTTTAAGTGAAGAGTTTCCATTAATTTATTACTATTGATTTGAAAAGATGTGCTGATGGGGTATTTTGAGCCACTGATTTCCTATACTGTTGGTTGGTGCTAGTAAAGTTAGGAAATGTGTAAAGTGCCAAGAATGATCTGGATAAAAAGTCTCATAGAAAGCCAAAGGGTTTTGCTCATGTATGTGTGTGTAAGCACTGAAGACCATAGTGTGCTGAACTTATTAAAGTAATTGAATCCATTAAGTTTTTAACTCTAAGACTGGAGGAAATGTTCACCAGGTACTTACCTGCAGAATAGTTCCAAGAATGAGAAGCTATCAAAATGCTCATTCTTTGTAATGAACTACATCCCTCACCCCTAAAATGAGCCAAGAGGAAGAAAGAATGTTGGTGACATTTGGAATTTGGAATGCCTTATGGGGTTGTATTCTGATTTGCAGCATTGTTTACCCTCTTAAGGCTTCATGCATAGAGATGCATCATGGGAATGATGATGTGGCTTGGGCTTACCCAATAGAAATAGGCTAAGTTAGGTTGTGCTAGCAAACAACCCCCACATCTCAGTGGCTTAAAACTCATGAAGGTTTATTTCTCACTTATACTACATGGCTTGTGTGCGACAACTGGGGCTCTGCTTCACATTATTCTCACTCTGATCCTCATTTTCCTCACTTGGTAGAACCTTCATCATCTAATATGTTGTGTATTGCCATGGTAGCAGAAAAGGAATCTTTAAGTAGATATTATACACTTCTCTTCTGCTCATGTTTCATTGGCCAAAGCAAGTCATGTGGTCATATCTAACTTCCTCTAATGTCACTCAATGGAAACACTGTTGCACATCACAAATGACTTCCACATCAGGAATGAGAGAGACTGAAAAGGAATTATGACAGAAAAGAACCTGAAACAGGGCTTTACACCACCATATTAGGTAGCAGTTCAACATTGAATGTGAACAGTGGTCTTTAGGAAGACACTCATCTCTCTGAGTCTTCATTTCTGCCTCATAAACTAAGGAGATTGTACTAGATGGCACTTAAGTTCTTTTCTATTTCTAAGTTTTACTGATGGATTCCATGTTCTACCAGGTAGACACCTTTCTTTAGTAGGATCAATGAAATGATCACATAAATGTTAGAATGGAACAAATACATCCTTGAGAATGATACTGATATACTAATGAATCATCCAGGAGATGATTCCCAAGTCAAATGAAAAATTTTGTCAAAAAGACAGAAAAGTTATTTTCTAGACTGTTTTGGTTTCATTTATTTATATAGATGCTAGATGTGCAAGGGCCAAGAGCAGTTGAGAGTTAGATACTTTTGAAAGTGGAAGGCATACATGCTAATAGTTACATGAAAATTTATTGGGCTTTGAAGGAGTTTTGGTAGTAGTGTTGTTGGTAGAGTTGGGCTGCTAACCGCAAAGTCAGTAGTTAGAATGTACCAGTCACTCCAAGGGAAAGAGATGAAGCTTTCTGCTCCTGTAAAGATCTACAGCCTTGGAAATCCTATGCTATGAGTCAGAATTGACTCCAAGGCACATAACCCCACTACCATATTGGCTAGAACTCTGAACCACATATAAAGGAATATTTAGAAGCTTGGAAGGCTTACAGCTAGAGGAATTTGTAGCAGAATCAAGAAATCCAGTGCTTTCTAATTCAGGACACTCAGCTATTCCTGGAGCTGCCATCTTGGGAGAGACCAAGTGGGGGAAGGATCAGAACAGCCACTAATGCCTGACAGGACCTTGGATATACAGGTGTGGACATTCTTTTTTTGGTATCTGTTCATTGGTCTCTCGCTGTCTGTACACCTCCATTCTGGTGACTAGAGGGGATGCCTGAGCTAATGGACATACCGGCCCCACCCCTGGAAGGTTCTACTACGCACGCGCACAGATCTCAAAATTTAAAGTGATAGTTTCCACTTAAAACCAAATGGCCACCACTTGTCTGTTAGTTTGTCATACTGCGGTGGCTTTTGAGTTGCTATGATTCTGAAAGCTATGCCATGGGTATTTTAAATATCAGCAGGGTGGACAGGTTTTAGATGAGCTTCCAGACGAAGACAGACTAGGAAGAAAGAGTGATGAACTACTTCCGAATCTTTAGTCATTGAAAACATTATGAATAGCAGAGAAACACTGTCAGATACAGCACTGGAAAATGAGCCCCTGAGGTTGGAAGGCACTCAAAATATGATTGGGGTAGAGATGCCTCCTCAAAGTAGAGTTGACTGTGATAACGCGAATTGAATAAAGCTCGTGG